AGAGCCTTGGAAATTTATAGGACACCATCAAGCATACTAACATACGCATACTGAGAGTCTCAGAAGAAAAGAGAGAAAAGCGCAGAAAGAATATTCGAAGAAATAATGACTAAAAATTTTCCCCAAATGATGAAAAACATTAATCTACATATCCAAGAAGGTTCATCATAACCAAAGTGTGGAAAGACAAACAAATAGAGAATTTTTAAAGCAGCAAAGAGAATCAATCTACTAATTGCATACAAGTGATCCTCAATAATATTAACAGCTGATTTCTCATCAGAAACATGTATGCCAGAAGGCAGAGAGACACAATATTTAAAGTGGTGAAAGACAAAAAAATATTGTCAACCAAGAATTCTTTATCTGACAAAAGCATCTTTCAAAAAACAGAGAAATTAAGTCAGCTCTAGATAAACAAAACTCAGAGAGTTTATTTTTAGCAGACCTGTCCTACAAGAAATACTAACAGTGTTCTTCAGGTTGAAACTAAAGGACAGCAGATAATAACTCAAATCCACATAAAAAATAAAAAGCACTAGCAGAAATGACTATCTGGTAAATATAAAAGATGGTATAAATGTATCTTTTTGTTTGTTACTCCTTTGTTTTCCTATTGACTCAAAAGACAATTACATAAAGTAGTAATTATAAATCTATGTCCATAAGCACACGATGGGGAGCTCTGGTAGCATAGTGGCTAAGACACTTGCCTGCTAACCAGACGGCTGGCGGTTCAAACCCACCAGCCACTCCTCGGAAGGAAGGTTGGGCAATCCTACTTCCGTAGTGATACTGCCTCGGAAACCCAAGGAGGGGTCGCTATGAGTCGGGGCCGACTCGACGGCACATAACAACAACAACAACAACAAGCACACGATGTATAAAGATGTAATTTGTGACAATAACAGCATAAAAAAGGGGGTAATGGAGCTATATAGGAACAAAGTTTTTGTATGTTACTGAAATTATGTCAGTATTAATCTGAAATAAACCAAAACAACCAAACTCAGTGCTGTCGAGTCGAATCCCACTCATAGTGATGCCTCCTTGGGTTTCTGAGGCAGTATCTCTATGGAAGTAGATTGTCCAGCCTTCCTTGCAAGGAGTGGATGGTTATAAATTGAGATGTTGATGGTAATCCCCAAAAAAACAATCAAGAATATAAGCTTGCTGAAACCCTTCCCAAGTTTAGGGATTAAAATCTCGAAGGAAGTTATGCAACAGACTCCAGAAGAAGCACAAGGAGTCAGAATGGGGAGTAGGTGTGGTGTCAGAGATGGTGATGAGCTTCGGTCGGGAACCACCAGAAGCTGAGACCAAGAGCTGCTGTCTGAGTCCTAGAGAATGAGAAGGAGTGACAGAATGGGCTATGGGCTGAAATCAGGCAGCAGACACTGGCAAGATAGGACACTGGTAGGAAAACCAGGGCATTCAGATGAAAGTCTGGGTGGTGAGAGTAACCAAGAAACTCACAGCAACAAAAGATAATGATGCTAAGAGGCAAAGCCTGGTAAGAGTTTAGGAACTAAGCAAATAGGCTGGGGAACTAGGCACTGAAATGAAGTAGTGTTTGAGAATGTACCCTGTTCTGGACAGATGCTTAGTTAATGTTAAACCAAAAACACCAAACTCACTGCCGTTGAGTCGGATGTGACTCATAGTGACCCCTCCTTGGGTTTTCCAAGGCAGTACTACTACAGAAGTAGATTGCCCAACCTTCCTTCCAAGGAGTGGCTGGTGGGTTTGAACCACCAGCCTTCCAGTTAGCCGTCAAATGCCTTAGGCACTACGCCACCAGAGTTGGTTCTAAATCTGAAAATGAAACAAGGCAGATGTTATGGCAACAACTAGATTTTGATAACAATAATAGTCCTTACATATTAATACCTAGTATGTACACTGTGCTAAGTATTATACACACACACACACACACACACACACATATATATATCTGGTGGCATAGTGCCTAAGGCATCTGACTGCTAACCAGAAGGCTGGCAGTTCAAATCCAGCAGCCACTCCTCGGAAGGAAGTTTGGGCAATCTACTTCCGTAGTAATACTGCCTTAGAAACCCAAGGAGGGATTTCTATGAGTCGGATCCGACTTGGCAGCAGTCAGTTTGGTTCGATACACACACACACACACACACACACGTGTGTGTGTATGTGTATATGTGTGTGTGTGTGTGTGTACATATTCCCATTAATATTGAAAATGTTCCTGCAAAGCAGACATTGAAGTCTTCACTCTACAGATGAGGAAAGGAAGAAGCCTGGTTAAGTGACTTGGTCAAGGTCATATAGCAATGTACATGAGACAGAACCAGAAGATTTTTCTGAAAGTCTTATGCCCATGGCTTGTGTGCTCTGGGACAGCTACTGATATTGCTTTGATCTTTAAGCCATTTTGGTGGCTTAAAAGGAAGAGAGATTGGGGAAGAGGTTGAGACCTGGGGACAAGAACATCTCAAAATCTTTCTGAAGTCTCTCTCATTCATACCTTTTCAAATAGAGTTGGAGGAGGAAACAGCAGAAGTCTGAAGACCCTCTCTGCCCTTTTCTCTCTGTCTGGACCTTTGAGGTATTGTAGAGATTTACCCGCCTGCTGGAAAACCAGGCATGAGGGTCACCCCATCCTGTTCTAAGTCCTCAATGCATGTTTTCTAAATGGCTTCAGTTCTCAACAAGGAGCTAGTTATCAGGGATGAAGGGATGTGGGCCCAGGGAACTCCAAGTGTAGCTCTGCTTGCCCCATAAACCCCAGCTGCCATCTTGAGTTTTTGCTCCAAACAAGAGAGTGGGTCTACTTTCTCTATGGCCATCCCTATCTTCTACTCCACTCTCTACACACACAACAACACATAGCTATACAACAACACATGCAGATGTTGAGGGACCACCTGTGGGTGACTCCCCATCCCCATCCCACTAATGAGACCATCACCATTGTCATCCCTTAGGGAAAGATGTTTTTGTGAGTTTCTGTCAATCCTGTACTGGGGCTCAAGGTCTAGGATGGAAAATTAATACGTCATCATAAACACTCAGAACAGGAAGATCCTGAAATGTCATGTAGCTCATCCATTTTAATGATAAAGAGATGGTAGCCCAGGAAGAGAGTTGGCTTGCCCCAGCTCATGGAGCACTCACTTCCTGGGGCTCAGTCGTGGATTTCAATCTATACCCTCCATGGGCTCTCTGGTCCCTCTAAGCTCTAGATGAGGAAGAGAAATCTGCAGAAAAGAGGTGGACACTTACCTGGTGATCTACCTATAAGGGCTCTGACTCTTTCGGGAAGCCAAGGAAAAAGGTGCCGGGGTCCACACCCTTGGGAACTGTGTCTCCTACCTGTTGGTATGTGGAATCATCTTGAACCACCTTCTTGGAGACCTGTGGACACTCTCTGTTCCTCTCTCTCCCTGCTTGTGCTACTTGGGTATTGTTAGCTGCCAGCATGTCCATTCTGACTCATGGTGATCCCAGATGTTCAGAGCAGAAATACTCCACAGGGTTTTCAAGGCTGTGACCTTGTGGAACCAGATTGCCAGGCCTGTTTCCCAGGCACCTCTGGGTGGATTTGAAGCACCAATATTTTGTCTAGTAGACATTTGTGTTACCCAGTAACTCCATTTGGGTGTGGGCTGCCCATTTTCCTGGGGAGGCCTGGATCTGTAGTCCTAGGATTTTAATGGACAGTGAACTTTTCATCCAACCTCCCATTGCTAGGCAGGGATGCTCACCTTGCCAGCACCCCTGAGAACCAGCTGTGAGCCCAGACCACTATAAGAGACTAGGAACTCACCCCCCCCCCAGCTGAAGGAAACAGAACACAGCTCCAGATCATTCCCTTTAATCAAAGTGCCCTGTGCTGTTATAGTCACTGGGATGCTGAAGCCCCTATATATGCTGTTCGCTTCTCAATGCCAGCAAAATGTCAACATCATAGCCACAGATTTTTGTTTTTTAAATACCATCTTCTGGAATAAAGTAAAATAAAGTCTAACTCTGGACCTAGTGTTGGGCCTCATTGCTTGCATGTCAATCTACCCCGTTAATCATCATGTACGATTTCTCACAGAGCTATTTTGAGAAACATTTAGAAAATGGCTTTTATATAGCTGTATATACCTTATTTATACCCTCCAGAAATGGTCTCTCGGTTTAGCAGCAGATGGTTTTTTTCCTCTAGTTTTCTTCTCATCTTTTCATCAAATTTAAATAGGAAGCCTAATCCTCTAACCCCAGGCATAAATTGATCACCATAGTCCATCCTGGAGCCAGGGTTGTGGGTGGGCTATGGGGAGGAAAGGCTGTTGGTTCTTTGTAAGGCACTGTTCCAGAAAACCTGAGGGGCAAATAGAGTGGGATAGTGGCTGCCAAGAGGCCAGACTCTGAAGGATATGAATTTGGCAAGGAGAAGGACCAGTGGTGGGGTGGTGCTGGTGATTGAATAGAATGTGGATGCCCTGGTTTGTTTCTCTCAACAACCAGAGTATCTCAAAGTCCACGAAGCAAATAACAGGGGCATCTCATTGACCTCCAGAGAATAGGAGCCAAAGCAGGTCAAACTACACTGGCATCACCCAAGCAATACATCCTCTGGCCTGCAGGAAGCAGCAAGTCGGGGGACCTACACAGTTGCCATGGCAACTGCAGTGCTGCAGCTCCTAAGGTTAAGGGGAGGAGAAGGGAGATGGAGAAGGCACGTAATGGCTGTTCTGGAAAAGCCCATCTGTTTCCTTTTCCCCAGGAAACCAATCTGAAAAAGAAGGAATGGACATCTGGGGTCTAGAGAGAAAATACTCCAAGATGCACCAAGAGCAGCTTTCCTGACTTGATATACTTCTCTTCCTTTTGGGAGAGGCAAGTCACTGACAAGGACAAAGGTCTGGTAGGCCTTGGTGAGTGGTATTATTCACACAGGAGTCCATGTGCAGGATTTAGGGTGGGCCTTGGGACTGCAGGCTCCTACAGCAGCAGTCCTGGGAGGCCTACCATCAGCCACAACAGGATTTCTTCTTGGCAGGGTGGCCAACCTGAACGGTGTCCTCTCTCACTGTGTCTTCTTGCTTCTTGAGGATCCTGGAAGTAGGGAAGATGTATATCAGTACTAGAGAAGGTGATGGGCCCAGGAGCTGGCAACATGGACCAGCCACCCTCAGGTTATACAGGTCATCTGGGTAATAAGGAAGGAACTCAGCTGCACCAGAGGGTCAGAGAAAGTCTACCCGTGGGGAATCTAGGTTCCTAACTGTAGTTGTACAGCCAGAGAGTTTAGTCAACATGGATCATTCAAGACACTCCTCTAAGAAGCCTCCTCTGATACTGTAGATTGGCCTAAATGCCTCTGACAGCACTGTGATTCCTCCTCCATTATAGCCCTTCAACCAGCACCATAATGCACTACTTCCTCAGCTGCCTCCCTCACCAGAGAATGAGCTACTTAAGGGTGAAGGCTATATCCTTTGCCTTTGTGTTTCTGCAGCAGCTGAGCACAGTAATAGTCATACAGTAGAGGCTCAGCTCAAAAGATGCATCTGTTGATTGTTAACTCTGTCCCATGTAGACACAGCTCCAGATTAAATGTAGGAGGTGGAAGATGAAAAATAATGGTATCTTTTCCCTGTTTTATTCTTTCAAAGCACTTTCACCTTCAGGAACTTCTTTGATGCTCAGGACAATCTGTGAGTGACATGGAAGGTATGCTTGATGTTCCTACATGACCAAGCAAGCTCAGAGAGGCAGGGGCACTTGCTCAGGGACTCATTGTCAGAGAAAAGCCTGGAACTTTTTCCCATGGTACTCTATAATCCCACAGTGTCTCCAGTGCATATAAAGATTTGTTCTGAGTTCTTAATTACTCAAATGAAAATGCTTTTTAAATGTCCTAAAATGAATACTGGACACAAAATGGGCACTATTAAGTATTAATTGAGTGGATGGGTGGATGGATGAATGGATGGGCAGGTGGATGCATAGGTGGATGGATAGGTGGACGGACAGATGAAATGAATGTCCAGAGGGATGAATGAATGAATGCCCAAATATTTAAAATGGGGCCCAGTGAGGTTTCATTTTCTTAATTTTAGTATTATCAGGGACTTAAGGAATCAATGTTTCCATGGGACCAGTCCTTTTAGCAACACATGAAAACCATTACATTGGATACCTCTGATTTTCCACCACAGCCCCTCCTTTCCCTGGCTCTTTCTCCTCACCCAGGAACCCATATTATAACACATTTGTGCTCCCAGTTGGCTGCCAACTAATCCCTGCTAAGGCATTTTCCAGTGATGAAGGACCTATAGGAGCTCTGGTGGTGTAGTGCCTAAGGCATTTGACTACCAACCAGAGGGCTGGAAGTTCAAACCCACCAGCCACTCCTTGGAAGGAAGACTGGGCAATCTACTTAGTAGAGATATCACCTCGGAAACCCAAGGAGGCGTCACTATGAGTTGGAATCAACTTGACAGCAGTGAGTTTAGTTTTTGGTTTTGGAAGGACCTATGATATGACCTTCCCAGGAGCATTTGCATTTAAAAAAGAAGACCCCTGGGATAAAGGCAGCCTTTAAGACTTAGAAGAAGGACTCTGCGAAAGATGTGTGTGTGTGTGTGTGTGTGCGTGTGTGTGTGTGTGAGACAGGGGCTTTCTTTTTCATCGTTATTATGTTTTAGAAGATCATCCCTAACCCCAGCAACCCACAAAAAGACCTGGTCCACCATCTCCTCTACTCAGAAGGTTCAGTGACAGGAAAGGAAGGTCCTGGGCAGAGGTGAAGGCAGTGCTTCTCACCACACCTGGGACAGCTGGATTCAGATAGTCGCTTTACCTAGTAAGTTGTGTCTCTTTTACCTGGCTAGGTGGAGCACAGACTCTTTGACATTGTGACTGGAATAGGCACTGCATTCATAGAAGATCAGACTGTGCTCCTAGAATCATAAAACACAGGGAACAAAAGGATTGGGGGAAGGTAGAGAGAGCTGTGGGGAGTAGGGGGCACCCTGCCTGTATCTACTCCCAGCCCCACTTCCTCCTTATAATCCCCCTTTAATTCCTCAGCACCCCCCTCCAACTCTGTACATGGTTTATTTCTGTCTCCTCAGACTCCCTGACAAATACAAGTTCTGTAACCATCTCCCAGGTGAGCTATAACAGTTGTAAAACAATGAAACCCTACGCTGCCTTAGTGCTTTACATTCTCAAATTGCTCTCAGGAATGAAAATTCTCACTTCACACTAGTTCTGGGATGCAGGCAAGGCCACACAGGCCAGGTCAGGCAAGATTCTTTCTATTTCAGTCAGGAAACTGAGGCTAGAGGGCACATGGCTGCCCTATGCAGGCCATATATTTCCTTAATGGCAGGGCTCCCAGCAGCATATTTTTCCTAGGATGCTGGCATTCCAGGGACCTTGGGGCAGAAGTCACTGAGGCCCTCCCAGAGGAATTCTCCCCTCACCAGTTCATTAACATTCCAGCTGCCCAGGTTGTCAGCACTGGTGCCCCAGGAAAAGCGCCCATCATTTTATTAGGCTGGGGCTGTGTTGCATGCGTGCAGGAGCCCTTGGCCAAGGTGCATCATATTCCATTTATCACACATTAATAGACTTTCTGCTTCATTATGACAATGCTACTGGTGTAGCACTCTTCGCTTTTAGACAGGATTTTCTTGGAGGCTGACACTTTGTGGTGACGTGGGCTAGTGGAGTGAGGACACTTCCTCCGTGGCTTCAGACCAAGAGGCTCTGCAAAGACTGCCAAAGCTGCCTCTGAATTCCACTCTCCTGGTCCACACTCAGCAGGCCCAGCTCCAGCCTCTGCCCTCTTCACCAGCCCCATACATTTTATCTCTCCCGGTCCATTTTTTTTCAGAACCTGGTTGTGGGTCAGCCTGTCAAATAGTAAAGGTGGTGGGATAGAAAGTACAGAGACCTAGAGTAAGAAGACAAAATTAGTCTTCTAGCCTCCAGTTCTGACCCCACTGCTGATGATTTGAATAAATCACTAACTTCCTTTTTTTTTTTTCCTGTGACCAAAGAAAAGAAAATGGAATAATAGTAATACAGGCCTATAGTTCCTTATCTAAAATCCTTGGAGACAGATGTATTTTTCAGACCAGTATGTTTTGGATTTTAGAAAAACAATGCATATAGATACTGTATATTGCCTAGGTGGTGCAAATCATTAATGTTCTTGGCCGCTTACTAAAAGGGTGGAGGCTGGAGGCTGGAGGCTGGAGACTGGAGGCTGGAGGCTGGAGTCCACCCAGAGGTACCTCATAAAAACTGTCTGACAATCTGCTTTTGAAAGATCAGCCATTGAAAAGCCAATGGAGCACAGTTCTATTCTGACACACATAGGGTTGCCCTGAGTCAGAGTAGATTCCATTGCAGTTGATTTTATTCTGTCTATTACACAGTACCCTCAGTGGGTCTGGGACAGTACTCTGTAATTCAACATGAATATTCACATAAAATGAGGCAAATAAAGGTCATAAATAGTTTCACTTCAGTTCTAATCTGATTTTTTTTTTCCCCCAGGTGAAATGCATAAAAATTTTCTGTTCACAGGGCTTTTTAGATTTACAAATTGTGGATCAGGGATTGTGGACACATAATTGCCTAGTGACCCTCTACATGAACACCTGCCAAACTCTTCCTCCTTTCTCCTCAACTCTTACCATCTGTGCTCATTTTCCCAGGTTCTGAGGTCATGAGTCCCTGATTAGAGCAAGCAAACTAAGAACTATAGAATCATAGGGCTAGAATGCATACCATCTTCCTTGGTTCTATGAAAACCAAGCTCCAAGGCAATAGAAGACGGCAGGCAATGAGCACTTCCTATTTGTTTTCTAGTGTGATTTCCATTAACCCCACTCGTTGCCTTCTTGGGCAATGCTTATTTTATCCTTTCAGTTTATCCCCTCAGTTTATCTTGAGTTCACAGCTTTGAGCCTTAATCTTGAATGGAAGAATGAATTTTCTAACAGAGCTGTTCAAAGAACAAACTGCCTTATAGATAGTGAGTTTTTCATCTTGAAAGGTGATCAAGTAGAAACATAGATCAAGTAGAAACATATGTGATTCAGATATGAGCTGGGGGAATTGAATTAAGTAATCTCTTATATCTCATAATTTATAATTCTGAGTTAAAGGAAGAAGTTTGGGATAATTCTCTAAGCTCTAGTAGACCCTTGGCAGCTCCATCTTGCAATCTGTGGCTTTCTATGGAAAGCCTAAGTCTAAATGCATAGGAGCTGGCTGTCCCATGATGCCCAGACACCCTTATTGCCCAATTACTTTCTTCTCACAAGGCTTCCAGAGAAGGTTCCCACAAAGGCTTCTGGTCCTAATTGCCCCGAGGGAGTCCCACCCTACCCAAAGAAACAGAAAGCCTTGCTCTTCACCTTGGCAAGCTGCTCTCCAAGGCCCCGTGGGACTTCTCGCTCCTTCTCGTTGTCAATTTTATTGCCCAGCAGAAGAACAGGGATGCAATCTCCCACAGCTTCCTGCAGAAGAGATAACTCCCAACTGAGAGAAGCTCCAAAAAGAAAACTCATAAAGACAGGCTTAAAATGTTGGCTGAAAAGATACAATCTGCTTTGAGAACCCCAATCCCCTTCCAAACCGCCCCCCCCATGATAACACAGGTGATGACAGTCATCCAGAGAGCAGAGAGCAGAGTTCCCAGAGCCTCAATCAACAAAGCTTTTGTAGAGTGCCTGAGGTTTGCCTTCTGGGTGCCTCCCAGTCCTTATCCATGCAATCTCCCCTCCCTCCTTCACCACTCTCCTTGGATCTTGAATAGAACATGGAGGATCCCCAAGTGTGCTGGGGGGGGGGACAGTTGACACTGCTGAATTATGGATCTTTGGAACCCCTAAGGCATTCCTAAGTAACAAAACTCAGTCTAAGTGGACAACACTCAACCAAGGGAATCCATGCAGTGTGGTTTAGAGCTGTCTGGAGGCTGCGTTGATTAGAAGTGGCATCTCCAGGGGTCTCACATTGAGCACATAACTTCCCTGAGGGTGGGATTCCCTGAGTACTGGGCCACACAGGGTGCCATTGTGAGCCTAACTGTAGGTCACTACATGGGGTCCAACATCTCCCTGTCATTGGGTGCACTGGCTCTGAAGAAAGGCCCTCATGAGCAGCTGCACTTGTTGACCAGAAGTAACAGGTTTATTCAATGGATCAACCTTATTTACTCATCCAACAGCTATGGTAGGTCAGCCAGGAGCCTGCACCCCAGCATGTCCACGTCCTCCATTGTAAATTGGGTGTATATGTGCCTCTCTGAGGGCAAAGGGCCCAGGACATACAGATATTAAGTGAGGAAATATGGTAATTTTCACATTTAAGCAGGTTGTTATTTTTACTTTGTGAAATATTTAATTAGGCCTTTTAATCATAATTTGCTAGCAAACAGTTATCACTGTAGCTAAGTGTTTTACTAAATGGAGGAGATGTGGAATAACAGAAGCGAACAAGAAGTTAGAGTTTTGCCACTTCTTCAGCTTCTTGACTTTACCATGTCAAATAATTGTCCAAAGTCCATCTTATAGGTATACTTATTTTAAGTTTAAACACAACTACACTTAAAATTAAGCCTCTATTGTTCCTTAATCTGCACATTCAACAACAAAGTCACTTTAGTATAGAGTCCACAATTCTCTAAACTTTTTCTCTAGATTCTTTCCAATTCACTCTGCTATCTAATGTCATATTAACTAAAAGTCTCTAAAAATGGCAGTTAAACGTATCCACAGTAAGGTGGTAATTAATATTTATAAATGATGAGGAGCTCTGGTGGCACAGTGGTTAAGTGCTTAGCTGCCAAATGAAAGGTTGGTGGTTCAAACCACAAGCTGCTCCATGGGAGAAAGGTGTGGCAGTCTGGTTCTGTAAAGATTTACAGCGTTGGAACCTGACAAGGCAGTTCTACTCTGTCCTATAGGGTCACTATGAGTTGGAATTGATTTTAACAGGTTTTAATGATGACTCAAAGGCACTACAAGATCCTACAGTGTCTTCTGACCCATCAAAAAGAAATTACATGTACTGTTAAGTGGGTTGCACCATATTCCAATATTTGAAATTGAAAAACCTACTTATGGCATATATGGAATGCTATGGCTCCCTATTAACTAGAGGGTTAGTTCTGGGAATACCCCCATCTTCTGACTGTGATGTGCAACAGAAAAAGAAGAGGCAGAAGCAGGGAAATGGGCTTGCTGTTTGGAGCACATGGCAGAGATATTTGTAGATTTATATGTGATGAGTGACTAAGACTTGTGGGATTTCTTGACATGGAAATGTTCAAAAATATGAGCATCAGACTTGAAATCCCAGGACCAAATTCTAACCTGGATTTTGTTATTATTTGGATTGGGTGATGGCCTTCAGCCTCCTCACTTGGAAAAGGGATGATGGATCCTGAATGACTGAATAGGATGAGGTAGAGAATAATTCATAAGCCCAACATCAGAGCCCTCTGTACCATATACAGCAGTGCTGCCTCATGGGAAAAGAAAGGGCAGTCATCTTTCCTTTTAAAAGCAGTTCTTGAGGGGAAGGAAAAAAAAAAAAAGAAAGAAAGAGCTTTAGAAGGTGCTGTGGTTTCTGTTCTTTGCATTGTTCCTCCCTTCACAACCACTCTGGACAACTTGCTTCCCCTCTCTGGGGCTGGCTTGCCACTGATAAAGGAAAATTAAGTGTATCTCAAAGATACCACAAAAATAAGTGAAAATACATATAAAGCCAGACAGATGGTATGTTAATATCATGAGTGGCCGGTCATCAACACCCTGATCCAAGATCAGTCTCTGATACAGGGGCATGGGGACTCAGGTGGGCTGGATGTCTCATGGTCCTCTCTGATTTTAACCTTAAAAGCCTTGAGCTGTCTGCCTAAACTTTCTCATACTTAATGAGGTTTTCAACCTTTGTCACCTCTTAGCACAAACCAAACCAGTTACCATCAAGTCAATTCCAACTCATGGAGATCCCATACGTTTCAGAGTAGAACTGTGCTCTGTAGGGTTTTCAATGGCTATGACTGAATCCAACTCATAGCGACCCCTCTTTGGGTTTCCAAGGCAGTATCACTACAGAAGTAGATTGCCCAAGCTTTCTTCCAAGAAAAGTGCCTGGTGGGTTTGAACCACCAGCCTTCTGGTTAGCAGTCAAATGCCTTCGACACTACACTACCAGAGCTCCTATGATCTTTCAGACTAGATCACTCAGCCTTTCTTCTGAGGAGCCTCTGGGTGGATTTAAACTGCCAACCTTTTGGTTAGTAGCTGAGCACTTAACTATTTGCCACCCAGAGACTTCCTCTTGGCACAAAGATATTCATAATTTTCCACTAGATGAGAAGCAACACTTTCTTGTAAGAGGCCGGAGCTTATCTCTGGTACTTGGTGACAAGTCTAAGGCCCACTCAACCTCTGTAGTTGATATTTTTATAGAGGTTAGTAAAACCCGTTAGGCATTGCAGATAAGAGTGAAGAAATCTCAGCTCCTTAGCCCAGCACTTGATCTCTCTTTAGAGCACCCAGGCTCTGCTCTGGTTCTGCCCTCATCTCAATGTGTAACTCACCTGAGTCACTCTTCTTCTCCGAACCTCTATTGTTTGCTCTGTAAAATAGGCCTGTAAAGCTTGTGTTTGTTCTATGCTTCTGACACAGAAGTCTTTTTACCCTTTTGATCATTTTAGTTGCTTTTCTCTGAACTCCAGCTTGTTGGAAGATGGGTGTTGAAATTCCAAAGATTACCCATCTCTGACTTTAAATAACAAGAGCTGTCAACTCAGAGCAGAGGACTGGCACTCAGCTCAGAATGTGCAGCTGCTGGATTTGGTTGCTTGCAGTGTGTATATGCGTGTGTGTGTGTGTGTGTTTTAATATCTGTTTGCTGGGAGGCAAGGAAAAGCACTTAGCTGGGATAGTGCTGCTATTTCTCTGGAGCCAGAATGAAAAATTTCTCAGCACATTAAAGCATGCAGTTATGCTAAGAAAAAAATGACTGCAAAATTATATCTTGGGGGTTTCCATATTTATCCACCCCCTGCACTATGAGTCAAAACAAGATTTATTTGTGTAGTTCGTTTTAAACTGCCAGCACTTCAAGCTCAACTTGGAACGTGGGAAAAAAAATCAAACTGCTATATTTTGCTCTGTGCTGTACATTGTCACCAACGACAAAGATCATGCAATAGGAATTAGCTAGCAGCCCAGGAACATAGAGGGAAGTAGGCTTGCCCCCCTTGAGCTGAAAAGCTGCTCTGCTTTGAGGCTGAAGAGAGAAGGATTGAAAAAGAAATGAACACCTATTTTTCAGTAACAGATTTCAACAATGGACCATGTGACAAGGGAGAAGCATAATGCAGTGGCAAAGCCCTAGATTCTAGTTCTGGCTGCACCACTGACAAGCTGCGGGGGCCTGTGGACGAGTCACTTCCTCTCTCTGGATCTCAATTTTTTCATCTATAAAAGAAGATATTGCATGAGGTTAATCTCCAAGTTTGTTTCCAGTTCTAATGTTTATCACCCAAAAAGGGGTTGTTGTTTGTTGTTAGGTACTGTTGAGTTGGTTTCAACTCCTAGCAACCCCATGCATAACAGAAAGAAACACTGCCTGGTCCTGTGCCATCCTCACAACCATTATCATGTTGGAGCCCATTGTTGCAGCCACTGTGTCAATCCATCTCACTCAGGGCCTTTCTGTTTTTTTGCTGCCCCTTAACTTTACCAAGCATGATGTCCTTCTCTGGGGACTGGTCCCTCCTGATAACCTGTCCCAAGTATGGGAGACAAAGTTTCACCATCCTTGCTTCTAAGGAGCATTCTAGCTGTACTTCTTCCAAGACAGATTTGTTTGTTCTTCTGGTAGTTCATGGTCTATGCAATATTCCTCACCAACACCACAATTCAAATGCATCAGTTCTTCTTTGGTCTTTTTTTATTCATTGTCCAGCTTTTCCATGCAGATGAGGTGATTGAAAGAGTTGATGGAGAAGTCCAATATCAGCAGTTAGAACAAGGCCAGGGGCCAACTGCAGAACAAACCATCAATTACTCATATGCAAGTTCAAGTTAAAGCTGAAGAAAATTAAAACAAGTCCGTGAGAACCAAAAAGGGTACCAAAACCAAAACTCAGCTGCCATTGCATCAATTCAAACTCATTGTGATCCTATAGGACAGAGTAGAAATGCCCTATAGGGTTTCCAAAACTGTAAATTTCTACTGGGGCAGACTGCCACATCTCCCACAGAGAAGTTGGTAGGTTCAAACCACCAACTTTTTGTTTGATCAGCAGTTGACTGCTTTAACTACTATGCCACCAGGGCTCCTTGAAAAGGGGTACAAAAAAGGCAAAATCAAAGATACTAGTTGTAGTAGTTAAAGTTGTGTGTCAACTTGTCTGGGCCTGGTTTTCAGCAGCTGGGCAGCTGGATGCAGTTATTCCACATGATGAGATTGAATGTGGTGTAATCAACTCCAT